TAGTGACGGGCGGGCAGCTGAAAAGAGGCCGCGGAGGCTGTACCTTGTCAGTGTCATTGGCCAGTCGCTCCCCAATAACGTATATTTTCGGAAAATGTTGGGATATTCGTTCAAGTTAGATTTGGGGGAGGGAGGGAAGGGGGTGAGGGGGGGGGGTGAGGGGGGGAAGGAGGATGGAGGTGGGAATGGGGGAGGGAAGGAGGGAGGAGGAAGTAGGAGGAGGAGGAGAAGGGAAGGAGGGATGGGGGAGGGAGGAAGTAGGGGAGGGAGGAGGGAAGAGGGAGAGAGGAGGATGGAGGGAAGTGGGAGGGGGGTAGGGAGGGAGGAGAGAAGGAGGGAGGAAGGAGGAGGGAGGGATGGGGGAGGAGGGAGGGAGGAAGGGAAGAGGGAAGGAGGGAGAGAGAGAAGAGGGAGGGAGGAGGGAGGGATGGGAGGAGGGGTAAGGATCAAAGCGAGGTTTTGGCGGGGGGGGGGGGGGGAGGGGAGGAACGTTCATTTAAAGGGTTTTAGGGTTTTAGGGTTTAAGGGTTTAATGGTATAAGGGCATAAGTCTAGTGAGAGTTGGTTACGTTACTTTCATCATCGTTAACATTATCGTTATCGTTATCATTATTATCATCATTAGTAGTAATAACAGGAGCAGTAATAGAAATAGTATAGCAGTAGTAATAGTATAGTAATAATAGTATTAGCAGTAGTAGTATAGTAGTACAGTAGTAGTAGTAGTAGTAATATATAGTGTAGTAGTAAGAGTAATAGTAATACTAATAGCAATAGTAGTAGTAGTAATAGTAGAAGTAGAAGTAGACGTAGAAGTAGAAGTAGCAGTAACAGTAGCAGTAGCAGTAGCAGTAGCAGTAGTAGTAGTAGTAGTAGCAGTAGCAGTAGAAACCTAATTTTTTAAAGTATGTGATCGGCCTTTTTTCAGTGGTATTACGGGACACAACGTTACAGGTCTTGTACCGTTTGCATCTTCATTTCAGAGTTTGAGTCAGTTATGTATATATTTTAAACCAACTCGTATTCTGAAAATCACCAACGGAAAAGCTAAAACAACGGGAATAACGGCGATAACGGAATTTCTAATTTTATCAAGAATGTAAACGTTGCCTCCTTTAGCATGTAATTCTAAGTGAATGAGAGAGAGAGAGAGAGAGAGAGAGAGAGAGAGAGAGAGAGAGAGAGAGAGAGAGAGAGAGAGAAAGGGGGGAGAGGGAAAGGGAGAGGGAGGGAGAGAGAGAAAGAGAAAGAGAGAAAGATAAAGAAAGGGAAAGAGAGTTGTAGATACAAACAAAGCAAAGACAATTATCCTCAAGGAAGCATTTTCCTTATTATCTGTATTTCCACCTTTCTGTTTTCCTATCCCTTGTCTATTTTTACAGTCCCATTAATCTCTCTCTCGGTCTATTTATCCTTTTATCCATCTATGCATCATTCCATTTATATACGAATGCATATATATATATATATATATATATATATATATATATATATATATATATATATATATATATATATATATATATATATATATATATATATGTATATGTATATATATATATATATATATATATATATATATATATATATATATATATATATATATATATATGTATATATATATTTATATATATAAATATATATGTATATATATATATATATATATATATATATATATATATATATATATATATATATATATTTATATAAATATATATGTATGTATGTGTGTGTGTGTGTGTGTGTGTGTGTGTGTGTGTGTGTGTGTGTGTGCGCGTGCGGGCGTGTGTGTGTGTGTGTGTGTGTGTGTGTGTGTGTGTGTGTGTGTGTGTGTGTGTGTGTGTGTGTGTGTGTGTGTGTGTGTGTGTGTGTGTGTGTGCGTGTGTGTGTGTGTGTGTGTAAGCATACAGTGTATCCATCTTTTAACAATCTGGCTAGCAATCTATCAATCTCTCTAGGTAGTTATCTATCTACATTCTGTCTGTCTGTCAATCTATCTTCCTGCCTGTATATTACTTATCCGTCTATCAGACTGTCTATCTCCCCTCCCTCACTCACCCTCTATGTTTCCGTCATCCATCTATCTATCTATCTCCCTGCCTGCCTATCAGTTTATTTGTCTATCAGACTGTCTATCCCCCCCCCCTCACTCACCCTCGATCACCTTGTGTTTCCGTCATCTGCTCTGAATCTGACACTTTGATGAATTAAACAGACAGTACTTTATCTCCAAAACTTTCTTGTCCTTCTATATATTCTCTCATGTCACCAAAACTTAAGAACTTTTTAAAATAGAACTTTTAGTAATTTTGTGAAGTTTACAATATGGAAATAAGTGAGGAAACCCCCTAAGGTAACAGAAGACAGTTTTGTTGTTGTTATTGTTGTTGTTGTAGTTGTAGTTGAAAGTTGTAGAGAAAGAGATGGAGAGAGAGAGAGAGAGAAAGAAAGAGAGAGAGAGAGAGAGAGAGAGAGAGAGAGAGAGAGAGAGAGAGAGAGA